CTAGGAAAAGTGCAGGGGACATCATCTTTCACACCCTGCCCTCCTGCAACACAGGGAGAAGGGCCAATCTATTCTCCCTCAGGGATGTTTGTCCACCGATGCTGAGCCACTGTGAGGTCACTGACAGTGGAAGAAGGGAAGTGAGAAGAATCAATTTTGTAAAGTAAAGGAGGAGCAAAGCTACTAATGCAGGATCTTTCCATGGAGGCTGCAGAGCTGACTAAATCTAGTGAGTCCTCTTCTGCAAGCAGGTCTTTTCCCAGACCACAGGTCACAGCACTCAGGAGGTTAACTACATCCAAAAGGCAGCTCATATGTGTCTAGATTAATCAGAGCACAGCTAATATGCTTAGCTGCTGATAGCAAGTAAAGGCAATTATCCTCTCCTTGCCCAGGGTGGACACCTATGGGGAGCAGGTGAACCTCAAGGGCTGTACGCCGCCAGAACTTTGAGACCAGCTTCTTTAGAGGAAACAAAACTGGCTGAGGCACCACTGTGATGTGAGTATCATGGTTCAGACTGCGAAGGGAAAGGATGGGAACTCCCACCAGTACTTAGTAGAGAGACATATACACGGTCACCCAAATCAAAACTGTGGGTCAGCATTTTCTCCAGGTAACAGCTAAAACGTGGAACAAAGGGCTTTTTCTTCTGCCCTCTTTGAGGCTTTGTGACTGTGCTGGAGCAGGCGGAAATGCTGTTATTTAAATGGACAGTCTCGCAACTGAAGCTGACTGCTGCTAGTCCAAAACCTCTTTAGATGTTTCCCTGTGAGGGTCAATGAAGTGAAGGTAGAAGGGTGGCTCAGATACAGCTGACCACTGTGGGTCCTATTCCAAGCCAAGCCATTCCCACATTTTGATATGTTTGATGACAAAAGAGTTGGGAATCACAAAACTGAGGTGCAGGAACTGTTGTTCTCAGCTGTCTCGAACCTAAAGCTGGTGACTACATCCAATATCGATGATTATTTGTAGAAGTGGCAGTAGAGTTTTTTAATAAGTGAAATGCACAGGTCTGTAATCAAACATTTGCATGTAACTTGGCCAAAATCACTCTTTATTGTCTGGATCTAGACAGATGCTGGATCTAGACAGATGCTGAAGCAGGAGCTTTGAGAACATATTATAATCCCTGTTACACCTAGGAGGGGTCATGTCAGCGCAGAACCTTCCCAGCATTTCCTGGGCCTGTCCTTTCCTAACATGTCCTGGTCACTCCTCCCACCCTACCCAGGTCCCAGGATCCCATTTCAGCCTCCATGGGGTTTTCAGTCCCTACCAGCAACAGGGCTGGCGTCCAGTTCCCCACAGCCCTGCCTGCACTAGGAAGGTGCCTGATGTCCAGGACTGTGTCTGACCCCAGAGTCCCTCACCAGGCCTGATCCTGTCCTCGTCTGCAGACTGATATCCTGGTCTGGCATGTGTGGGTACACAGGTGAGCTGAGGTTTGTGACAAATCAAAAAGAGGAGAAAAATTCATTGCATTTTGAACAGGTTTTATGTTTTGTGATTTGGTTGTTTGTTTTGTTTTGTTTTTTTCCTGTGAGATTAGATGCATCATCTCTGAACTGGTTTTCTGCTGACAGGAAATGGTGAGAGTTAACATGTATTGCTAGGCCTCAGCATGAGGTGGAAACCCAAACCAGCCAAAACCTGGAGGATCTAAGTAATTGTATCTTTAAGAAATGTGAATAAGCAACTCTCAGTTCTCTCACCTCCAAAATGGGGATGGGCTTTGCATATTTGAGAAAGGCATGGCAATGTGAGATGAATAAATGTAGTACAGTTAGATACTCATGTGGAAAAGTCCTAAGGAAGGGGAGGAAATGGAGCAAACAATTCAGGAAGAATTATCCTCAGTATGTTTAGAAAAGCTGAATACTGAACCCCTGTAAGGTGCTCTTCCTGGGACTTGTAATGTCATCTACAGTGGCCTCTACACTTCGTCACCTAGCACCAGGTTAAGTACCACAAAAGGGCATGCAATAAATTGAAAATTACCCTGATCTTGCAAAAATTGCTTTTTGTCTTGCATGTTTTAAGTTTGGTTTAAATTACTATATATTTTTTCAAGTTAGCAGGCACATGTTAGTGGTTATAATAATCTATACTTTTCATGCTGGCTGGAAGTGCTCTAAAGAGGCTTTTGATCTGAGCTGGCTCATATTGGTAACACTGCCAAAAAATGTTCTTTGCTACTCTACCAGATATTTCTGTCCATACTGACAGAGCATGTAGAGATGAACAACATGGAACACTACTAAGGTCCTGTTGTTCTTGATGGTCACCTCTTCTAAGGTGAGGCAGCAAAGCTTGCTCTAATTTTGATGGCAAATGTATGAGGGAGGGAGAATCTCTCCCAGCAAGTGTCCTCCTTGTCCACTCCTTTTTTGTGTCTGCATTGCAGGGAAATGGGTTCTCCTTCCATGTATCCTAAGTGAGCTTGATCATAACTAGAGCAAGGACCTCTGGTGCATAACTTCAGGCTTTTTGTGCTGCTAATCACATAAGAAATAGCAGTATTTGGGGGAGGAGGGTGAACCATGGTCCTTGTGTATTCACTACTGAATGAGGTAACACTGTATTCAGCTTTCCTTGTGTTCGTTGATTTTCCTCTGGTATTTCTGCATCCTCCCCCTGACATACACGGTGAGACTGTTTATGAGATGGTAATGAGAGTATATCGTCTTCTTAACAACAAGGGAAGGGAATAATGAAGTGAACATGGAAGTGGAAAATCATTAAGTAGAACTTAAAATAATTACAAAACCCATCTTTGAATTGCAAAATGGCCATTTAACATTTGATAGAGATCGGTAGCCTCAAAAGTGGAGCAAGACAAGGACTACTACAATGTGCCGCAGTGTTGCTCTGGCACATACTGAGAGGCTTTTTCTCTGGAGATTGTTAGTGTTACAGTTGTCACAGCTATACAGGGTTTAATCATAGATCTTATTCCCTCTGACTACGTAAGGGAAACAGTCTTGAGAATATCCAGTTACGAATTGGAGGAAAATGTGCTATTGTGCTGCATGCTTACTCTTGCAAAATAAGAGGTGCAGAGATTGGGGGAAATTGTTTTATTGTGAGTTAGAAAGGCTTCAGTATTGGCATTAGTAATATGAAAAGAGTTGGTGAGTATAAAAAGATTCAGTTTACAGACAGGGCCATAAGTTTAGTTTTTGAAGGACATCAGAGCTGGATGAGACAGAGCAGACATACAGTCATCCATCTAATTTGAGGAAATTTTAGGAGACAGTAATTTCAATACTCAGTTCTTTATGCCCCCTATTACTACTTGAAGTAAATGTGTTACAGTCAAGTTCTCTTGCCTTTATAAAATTCTCAGTTAGCACTGGTCTATAAGCCATCCTGCTTCCAGCGAAGCCTTGAACGCCCGGATCCAGATTTGCTGAATTTGATACCTTATTTGCCCTCACTATCTCAAGAATAACTCCTCAGCTAGGAGACCTCAGCAATGAAGAAGAGTTAGAGAGAAATTGCAAGTGAGAGAAAAATATATGTTTATTTTTCTGAAGTCCTTTTACCATAAATATGCGAGAAAGCGTCAAACTGCCCATATGAAGTTTTAAAGAGTGGGACTTTGTGAATTAATTGAAGATGAAGGGTCACTCAAAATCTTCAAGAAGTTCATTTGCCTTCCCTGTAGTGCAATGAGAGAGAGGAATGAGATGATATTTTCCAGTCACAGATCTTTCACTTCATTGAAATAGCGAAGCTGATTATCTGGTCAACATCATACATAAACTCTGCAAGTGCAGTTTGTAGATATCAAGTAAAAATGCAGTAGCAATATGATGGTGCTAAACTGGCTTATGGCCATTAAACTTCAAGGTAAATGAATTAGGAACTCCTGCCAGAGACAAAAAAATACATACAGAGTTTTAGCTGACAAGATGTGAATGCTGATATAGTCACCACATTGCAGATAAACAGCTTTGCATCACTTCGTGCTGCAGCCAAAGATTTTATGTACAGAACCTGCTGTGAGTTGACCTGTAACCTGGCAAAAGAGCAGTGAGCAAAAATTGCAATTTTTCTTCCTGGCTTGGCATCAAAATAGAAAAATGGTACTTTCACATCTCTTGAAGACTCAATCTCTGCCATTTTTTTCTCCATCTTACTGAATCATACTAACAGATTTTACACAAATAGCACTATGTGCCTTATTTAGAGTGTGGTCTGTTTCTATATGTTAGAGACTTACATGAAGGTCAGTGATTCGGCAGAAACCTTTCATCTTTCTTCTTCATGTCCCAATTTATCCCATTAACATCAAAGAGCCTTTTGCTATGTGAAGGACAGCAAAGGGTTGAAGAGAAAGTAGCCCATTCTGAGGTAAATAAAGTATATGCTGTCTATTATTTCACCCATAGCCTCTGGAAACTTTAGCTTTGGAAGTACCGGGGGAGGAAACATCCCTAATCGAGTGTTTTGCAGCAGCCAGAGGTATTAACTACGGTGAGAGAAGCGGAGGCACGGCTCGGGGCAGTTTGTGCTACCTCACTCTCTCTGAAAGCATTTTGTTTTAAAGAATGGAATTCTAACTGCTCGCTTTCTTCTCTGACTCAGAAAAGACCCGCTAAAGATTAACAGCGAGTGTTCTGCCTCACGTCAACTGTAAAGGGTTTTTTTTTATTTAGAAAGAAAAACAAAACTTTCCCTCTCTGGATGTCAGTTCGGTTCCAGGACTCGGGATTTATCGCCTCCTCTCTACCCAAAGTCCACTCTTTTCGCGACTAAACACCGACAGTCGAAAATAGACCCTTCAACTGTCCCCGCGTGCGCAAAGGGGGCGAGCTCATGGCAGATAAAGTAGATAAAAAACATTTTATCTTGCTCAAAGAAACACAACCCGGATCGCGGAGCGCTGGGAGGTGGTGGGGCGGGGCGCCCAGGAGGCACCAATCAGTGCGCGCCGCGCTGCTATAAATAGGGGAGCTGCCGGTCGGGCCGCCGCCGAGTGTTTCGTAGCTATCATGGCGGAGACTGCTCCTGTTGCCGTGCCTGCTGCTGTCCCGGTCCCTGCCGCCAAAGCTGCGGCCAAGAAACCGAAGAAGGCGACCGGTGGCTCTAGAGTCCGGAAGGCCGCGGGCCCTAGCGTTACCGAGCTGATCACCAACGCTGTGTCCGCCTCCAAGGAGCGCAAGGGACTCTCTCTCGCCGCGCTCAAGAAGACGCTGGCTGCTGGTGGCTACGATGTGGAGAAGAACAACAGCCGCATCAAGCTGGGGCTCAAGAGCCTCGTCAACAAAGGTACCCTGGTGCAGACTAAAGGCATTGGTGCGTCTGGTTCTTTCCGTCTCAGTAAGAAGCCGGGAGAAGTGAAAGAAAAAGCTCTGAAAAAGCGAGCAGCTGTGGCCAAGCCCAAGAAGCCGGCAGCTAAGAAACCTGCCAGCGCCGCTAAGAAGCCCAAGAAAGCGGTGACAGCGAAGAAGAGCCCCAAGAAAGTGAAGAAGCCTGCGGCTGCTTCCGCCAAAAAGGCGGCCAAGAGTCCCAAAAAGGCGACTAAGGTTGCTAAGCCCAAGAAGGCGGCGGCAGCAGCTAAGAGTCCAGCCAAGGCGAAAGCGGTGAAGCCCAAAGCAGCTAAGCCCAAGGCGACTAAGCCTAAAGCAGCCAAGGCGAAAAGGGCGGCGCTCAAGAAGAAGTAAGCCCCTGTGGAAGGAAAGTCTTCCCCCCACACTTAAGCCTAACGGCTCTTTTAAGAGCCACCCATCTTTTCTCAAAAAGGGCTGAAATGCGGTAGCTTTTTCCCCATGTTGGAGGAGGGTTGGAGGAGAAGGGCAGTGTTGGTGTTTCCACTCCTGAGGTGAGGAGGACTTGATCACAGGTCTCCCTTAAAGTTCCTTCCGCTTATCTGGGAAGGGAGTATGCGCGCTGGTGGCTTCGGAAAGCCCACACGGTGCGCGGATTGGCTGAAACGGGAGCTGACCGGCACCCCAGAGCCCCACCCCATCTTCCGATTTAGTTGCGGTAAGGAGGTGGGGTAGAGGTAGTGCCTGCAAAACTCTACGGTGTTTCAGGGTTACGTCGCCGCCACGGAAGCGAGTGTTTCACTGTCAGTTTCAGACAAGACCCTGGAAAAAGTGCCGTAGCTAACTTATTACTTATATTTAACAAAGTTCACGCTCTTTTTATGAGTAAGTTGGTGGCTCTTAAAAGAGCCTTTGGGTTTCTCTGGGGAAAAAAATACTCTGCCGGGCGTTGTTCTTGGGTAATCACTTGGCTTTAGCCTTGTGGCTGTCAGTCTTCTTGGGCAGCAGCACGGCCTGGATGTTGGGCAGCACACCACCCTGCGCGATCGTCACCTTGCCCAGCAATTTGTTCAGCTCCTCATCGTTGCGGATGGCGAGCTGCAGGTGCCGCGGGATGATGCGAGTCTTCTTGTTGTCGCGGGCCGCGTTGCCCGCCAGCTCCAGGATCTCGGCCGTCAGGTACTCCAGCACGGCTGCCAAGTACACCGGGGCGCCGGCGCCCACCCGCTCCGCATAGTTGCCCTTGCGCAGCAAGCGGTGGACGCGGCCCACGGGGAACTGCAGTCCGGCCCGCGAAGAGCGCGACTTGGCCTTGGCACGCGCCTTCCCGCCCTGCTTCCCGCGCCCGGACATCTTCGCAACACCCCGAAATCGAAAACGAAGACCCGTTTAAGAAATGAAATCAGCTCCGCACCGCGCCCTTATATCCCTTCTCGGCGAGAGGAGGCAATTTCGATAGGCTGAGAAGGTAACACTGCAAAAACAGCCAATGGAAACGGGGATCGAACTCTAACCAATAGCCATGGAGTACTAAGAGCGAGAATTGCAAATACCTGCTCTCAGCCAATAGAAACGAAGCCTTGAGGAAACCCTAATTTGCATACGGTCCCTATAAAGGACGGGCGCTCATGCTTGCTTTGTGTGTTCGCTTTTCCGTTCCGTCGGAGAGCTAAGGTCTGATCTTGGGGAAAATGCCTGAGCCGGCGAAATCAGCTCCCGCGCCCAAGAAAGGTTCTAAGAAGGCGGTGACCAAGACCCAGAAGAAAGGGGATAAGAAGCGCAAGAAGAGCCGTAAGGAGAGTTACTCTATCTACGTGTACAAGGTGCTGAAGCAAGTGCACCCTGACACGGGCATCTCTTCCAAGGCTATGGGCATCATGAACTCCTTCGTCAACGACATTTTCGAGCGCATTGCTGGTGAGGCCTCGCGTTTGGCGCACTACAACAAGCGCTCCACCATCACCTCTCGGGAGATCCAGACAGCCGTGCGCCTCTTGCTGCCGGGTGAGCTGGCTAAGCATGCAGTCTCTGAGGGTACTAAGGCCGTTACCAAGTACACCAGTTCTAAGTAGAGCGTTTCAGTCCGCTTATTTTAACCCAAAGGCTCTTTTAAGAGCCACCTACTTTCTCAGTAAAGGAGCTGACTGGTTTTTATGCTGGCCCAGGCTGCTTTGCTGATAAGAGCTCAGTAATGGTGTGAAGACCAGCGTGGCTGTAGGGGACTGGGGTGTACTTAATTCGCGGAGTGGTCTATGTCTGCCTCGGTGGAAGACAGAACTTGTAGCTCCCTAAAGACGCACCCTGGAGCTCTCTTCACTTCTGCATATAACTTGGGGGTTGCAGGTTAAGGGGAGAATATTGTAATGTTTTCTAAAAGCCCGAAATAAAGGTGTTCTTTTGCTCTTTCCCCGTGAGGCATTGTATAGGGAAGCTTGTGAGCCGGGGGCTTCCAAAGCACAAACTTCTCCGGGTGAACGCGTAATTTTAGCATAAAGCTCCAATCCGGACCCCTTTGCGGTCTCGGGGTGACAAGAGGAAGCAGGCCAAGGTGTTTTCACGGCGTTCTCGATCCCTGCAGTCCCGCCTGCGATCCCGAGCACGGTTTCCCTGCTTCCCCCCGCGCTCTGCCCAAGGCTCTGGTCGACCTCTTCCTCCACTAGCCCCGTACTCCCCCCCGTATATCCTGCCGCCGAGCAGACCGAGGGAGACGGGGACTGGCGGCGGTACCCAGAGCTGCTCAGCTACCGGGCTTGCTCCGACCTGAGTGAGAACTGCACGGATCTCCCCAGCAGGCGCTCGCGGCCCGGCCCTGAGCACTTGCAGGAGGACGTGGATTGGTCGCGATAGCGCTCGCTTTTCGGCGCCCGTGTTCGCTCCTCCGACCAGAGCCGCGATTTACAACGGGCCGTGGCAGCAGCCGGGGAGCGTTCGCCGTGAGCGCGTGCCGCGGCCCTGTACCGAGCGCTGTTACCGAGAGGGAAGAAACAGAGAACTGACGCGAAGAAGAAAGACGCTGTCGTGTGAAAGAGCCTCTGTCAGCAGTCCCCGTGCTGGAAAGCGGGGAGGACAGGGACGGTGAGGGGAATGGGATTTGGAAGAAGCCGAGTCCAAGGCCTGGGCGGCAGGACCCTCATATATCGGTCGCGTAGAGGTCCTTGTCGCCCCACCGCCTCTCGGACCGCAGCTCGTGCGGACGGTGAACAGCGAGGAAGCCGGCGCTAAAGCGCTCTGGAGGGCCGGAAAAGAGCGAGCGCCGAGCCGTGGAGGGAGGGGGATCGGCGGGCTGGGGCGATGGCTGTGGAGATAGAAGTGGAGGGGTTTTACCGCCACGGCGGAGCGACCTGTAGTATTCCGGAGTTGACATGAATATGTTGCCATGGAAAGCTAAAACCATTTAAGGTGCAGCAACATTCATGATCAAGACGGAAACGCCAATCCACTCAGCGTCCTTTAACTCATTTGTGACTTGTTACTGTAGTACACTTGCATCTCTAAAAACTTATGAAACCAGCTCTTTTAATTGTGCATGGAGTGGCTCTTAAAAGAGCCTTTGGGTCTGTTTATCGGTCTCGGTGTTTCTGCTAGAGGCCGGGAGACTTCGGCAGGTGCCTCAGGCACGCTCACCTCGGATACGCCGCGCCAACTGGATGTCTTTGGGCATGATAGTGACGCGCTTGGCGTGGATGGCACACAGGTTGGTGTCCTCGAAGAGCCCCACCAGGTAGGCCTCGCTCGCCTCCTGCAATGCCATCACGGCCGAGCTCTGGAAGCGCAGGTCGGTCTTGAAGTCCTGCGCTATCTCACGCACTAGGCGCTGGAAGGGCAGCTTGCGGATCAGCAGCTCCGTCGACTTCTGGTAGCGCCGGATTTCACGCAGGGCCACTGTGCCGGGACGGTACCGGTGCGGCTTCTTCACGCCACCCGTGGCCGGCGCACTCTTACGGGCCGCCTTAGTAGCCAGTTGCTTGCGGGGCGCTTTGCCGCCAGTCGACTTACGCGCAGTCTGCTTCGTACGTGCCATCGCTCTACACACAACACGAACAGCCTTTTTTAACAAGAGACTGAGTAGTGACAGAGCCTCCCCTGCGCCAGCATTTATAGCCGACTCTCCCTGCCGATTGGCCATCTGGCGAGAGACCGGCTGCCATTGGGTGATTTGACCGCTCGAAAAGCTCGCTCCGCCGTGGCGCTAAAATCCCTCCCCTTCTATCTCCACAGCCATCGCCCCAGCCCGCCGATCCCCCTCCCTCCGCGGCTCGGCGCTCGCTCTTTTCCGGCCCTCCAGAGCGCTTTAGCGCCGGCTTCCTCGCTGTTCACCGTCCGCACGAGCTGCGGTCCGAGAGGCGGTGGGGCGACAAGGACATCTACGCGACCGATATATGAGGGTCCTGCCGCCCAGGCCTTGGACTCGGCTTCTTCCAAATCCCATTCCCCTCACCGTCCCTGTCCTCCCCGCTTTCCAGCACGGGGACTGCTGACAGAGGCTCTTTCACACGACAGCGTCTTTCTTCTTCGAGTCAGTTCTCTGTTTCTTCCCTCTCGGTAACAGCGCTCGGTACAGGGCCGCGGCACGCGCTCACGGCGAACGCTCCCCGGCTGCTGCCACGGCCCGTTGTAAATCGCGGCTCTGGTCGGAGGAGCGAACACGGGCGCCGAAAAGCGAGCGCTATCGCGACCAATCCACGTCCTCCTGCAGGTGCTCAGGGCCGGGCCGCGAGCGCCTGCTGGGGAGATCCGTGCAGTTCTCACTCAGGTCGGAGCAAGCCCGGTAGCTGAGCAGCTCTGGGTACCGCCGCCAGTCCCCGTCTCCCTCGGTCTGCTCGGCGGCAGGATATACGGGGGGGAGTACGGGGCTAGTGGAGGAAGAGGTCGACCAGAGCCTTGGGCAGAGCGCGGGGGGAAGCAGGGAAACCGTGCTCGGGATCGCAGGCGGGACTGCAGGGATCGAGAACGCCGTGAAAACACCTTGGCCTGCTTCCTCTTGTCACCCCGAGACCGCAAAGGGGTCCGGATTGGAGCTTTATGCTAAAATTACGCGTTCACCCGGAGAAGTTTGTGCTTTGGAAGCCCCCGGCTCACAAGCTTCCCTATACAATGCCTCACGGGGAAAGAGCAAAAGAACACCTTTATTTCGGGCTTTTAGAAAACATTACAATATTCTCCCCTTAACCTGCAACCCCCAAGTTATATGCAGAAGTGAAGAGAGCTCCAGGGTGCGTCTTTAGGGAGCTACAAGTTCTGTCTTCCACCGAGGCAGACATAGACCACTCCGCGAATTAAGTACACCCCAGTCCCCTACAGCCACGCTGGTCTTCACACCATTACTGAGCTCTTATCAGCAAAGCAGCCTGGGCCAGCATAAAAACCAGTCAGCTCCTTTACTGAGAAAGTAGGTGGCTCTTAAAAGAGCCTTTGGGTTAAAATAAGCGGACTGAAACGCTCTACTTAGAACTGGTGTACTTGGTAACGGCCTTAGTACCCTCAGAGACTGCATGCTTAGCCAGCTCACCCGGCAGCAAGAGGCGCACGGCTGTCTGGATCTCCCGAGAGGTGATGGTGGAGCGCTTGTTGTAGTGCGCCAAACGCGAGGCCTCACCAGCAATGCGCTCGAAAATGTCGTTGACGAAGGAGTTCATGATGCCCATAGCCTTGGAAGAGATGCCCGTGTCAGGGTGCACTTGCTTCAGCACCTTGTACACGTAGATAGAGTAACTCTCCTTACGGCTCTTCTTGCGCTTCTTATCCCCTTTCTTCTGGGTCTTGGTCACCGCCTTCTTAGAACCTTTCTTGGGCGCGGGAGCTGATTTCGCCGGCTCAGGCATTTTCCCCAAGATCAGACCTTAGCTCTCCGACGGAACGGAAAAGCGAACACACAAAGCAAGCATGAGCGCCCGTCCTTTATAGGGACCGTATGCAAATTAGGGTTTCCTCAAGGCTTCGTTTCTATTGGCTGAGAGCAGGTATTTGCAATTCTCGCTCTTAGTACTCCATGGCTATTGGTTAGAGTTCGATCCCCGTTTCCATTGGCTGTTTTTGCAGTGTTACCTTCTCAGCCTATCGAAATTGCCTCCTCTCGCCGAGAAGGGATATAAGGGCGCGGTGCGGAGCTGATTTCATTTCTTAAACGGGTCTTCGTTTTCGATTTCGGGGTGTTGCGAAGATGTCCGGGCGCGGGAAGCAGGGCGGGAAGGCGCGTGCCAAGGCCAAGTCGCGCTCTTCGCGGGCCGGACTGCAGTTCCCCGTGGGCCGCGTCCACCGCTTGCTGCGCAAGGGCAACTATGCGGAGCGGGTGGGCGCCGGCGCCCCGGTGTACTTGGCAGCCGTGCTGGAGTACCTGACGGCCGAGATCCTGGAGCTGGCGGGCAACGCGGCCCGCGACAACAAGAAGACTCGCATCATCCCGCGGCACCTGCAGCTCGCCATCCGCAACGATGAGGAGCTGAACAAATTGCTGGGCAAGGTGACGATCGCGCAGGGTGGTGTGCTGCCCAACATCCAGGCCGTGCTGCTGCCCAAGAAGACTGACAGCCACAAGGCTAAAGCCAAGTGATTACCCAAGAACAACGCCCGGCAGAGTATTTTTTCCCCAGAGAAACCCAAAGGCTCTTTTAAGAGCCACCCACTGTATCACTAAAGGGCTAAATTGCTAATGCTTTGCTCAGTTTTAGAAATTAGCTAACGGTCTTTTGGTGGGCTTTTTGTTGTGTTTTGTTTTTTTTTTTTTTTTCAGTCGTGCAGTTGATATAAGCGTGTAAATTAAATCTTTTCCGGCCCCGTTTTTGCATTATTGCAGAGATGGACAATCCGGTAGAAACCATCTCTCCCCATGCTTCCCCTCTCACGCTGCCGCACACACGGAGTCAGCAAAGAAAGCGTTAATCTGGGTGTAAGATAGCCTTTAAAAACAAAGGGATAAATTTCCGTCCTTAAAGGGAACGATGTCCCTTGTGTTGCACTGAAGTAACCATTAGAGCAGCAGCAAATGCCGTCCGTGGAAGTTCCTGTCACAGCACATTTGACGACGTTTGATGCATTGGGTGTGACTTTAAAGCTACGAAAGCGTTTTGCTATTTAGGAAATATAGGGGGAAAAAAACACCCTCTCCTTGCATTTCCAGCCCTTTTTGAGAAAAGGTGGGTGGCTCTTAAAAGAGCCGTTGGGTTTTAAGTGCGGGGCAGAAACTTTCCTCCACGGGAACTTACTTCTTCTTAGGTGCCGCCCTCTTTGCCTTTGCTGCTTTAGGCTTAGTCGCCTTAGGCTTAGCTGCTTTGGGCTTCACCGCTTTCGCCTTGGCTGGACTCTTAGCTGCTGCCGCCACCTTCTTGGGCTTGGCAACCTTAATCGCCTTCTTGGGGCTCTTGGCCGCCTTCTTGGCGGAAGCAGCCGCAGGCTTCCTCACTTTCTTGGGGCTCTTCTTAGCCGTCACTGCTTTCTTGGGCTTCTTAGCGGCGCTGGCAGGTTTCTTAGCTGCCGGCTTCTTGGGTTTGGCCACAGCTGCTCGCTTTTTCGGAGCTTTTTCTTTCACCTCTCCCGGCTTCTTACTAAGCCGAAAAGAGCCGGAGGCACCGGTGCCCTTGGTCTGCACCAAGGTACCTTTGCTGACAAGGCTCTTGAGCCCCAGCTTGATGCGGCTGTTGTTCTTCTCCACATCGTAGCCGCCAGCGGCCAATGCCTTTTTGAGCGCGGCGAGGGAGAGCCCCTTGCGTTCCTTGGAAGCGGACACGGCCTTGGTGATCAGCTCAGTGACGCTAGGGCCCGCGGGCTTCCGGCCTTTGGAACTACCCGCCGCCTTCTTCACCTTTTTGGCGGTCGCTTTGGCAGCAGTTGCAGGGGCTGCCGGTGCTGCTTCCGCAGCTGGGGCTGGAGCAGTCTCCGACATGGCAACGCTCAGCAAACGACACCACCAAAGCTGCAGGACCAGCGGCGGCGCCCCCATTTATAGCAGCGCGGCGAGCCCTGATTGGTGCGTTGCCGCCAGAGGCCGGCCCCTCCGCCCTGCGATCTGCTTCTCGGTTTGTGTTTCTTCCTCCTCAAAAAAGTGTGTTTTTCGTTAAAAAACCGTGACTGCGGCGCCCCGTTTCTTAGCATTCGTGCTGCGGAGGGAGGGTATTTTGCCTCTCGTTGTTTCTGTTAGCTGGGAGTTCAAATGAGTTTCAGGGAAGCCAATAATCTCCGAGTTTTGCGATTGCACGCAAAGCCAGACAGTGAGATTTTGATTTTCACTTCCAAATTAAAACTCTGATTGTGACTGCACTGTCACGGTGGCAGCGGATTCATGTTCCAGAGAGGGTTTTTCATCAAGATAATGCAAAATGGAGGTAATTGAGAGACATTTTCTTACCGTAAATTAGCTTTGAAAACAAGCAAGTAACACAAAGTAGCCACTCAGCGGTGTTTCTGGGTTAGGAGTTATTTCCCGTAAGACGGCTTCATCTCTAAAAAATAATGAAACCTTTGGACACGGTGTCCTATTTAGCTCTAATCAGAGCTAATAAGAAGTAAAAGAAAGATAGTTTTCACCAGAAACTTTAATGTGAAAAACTGTTCTCTTGAATCAGTCAGTACCTTGAACATCTCATAGGAACATACAAAAGGTGTTTCACTGTTTCCCTCAGTCTTCTGTGTCCTTGTATAAATATTTTGATGAAGCAATTTCCGATTTTTTATCCAAAAGGCTTCTTTTGATTAAAGACAATATGTAAACACATGAAATTCGATGTTGTTATTTTAAGATAGAGTTTATTTTTATGCTTACTTTTACACTATACTGCAGGCATTTTGTCAGACAGAATCTGCTGTTGTGGATAAAAAAAACAATAATCAATATATGGTGTGCATGTTTTCTTTCTGAAAAACAGAGGTAAGGCTCAAGTCATTTCTTTAATAACAAAATAATGTAAATTCACAATTATGTCCTCAGAAATGCTGAGAAAAAAAAAAAAGGCATGTTTTTTTTCCAACCCATGAGTTTTGTAACGTATGACAAACTGAATACACATAAAATGATTTTTTTTTTTTTTTCCTTGAGATGAGTTGAAAGTGGAGTGTCATGTTCAGACATATATAGTACAATGCGGAAAAGAGTTTTAAGACCCTGTCAGTGGTGCTGGTTTACCATGACTAGGGTGTACCTGAAGTGTGAAAAACTGCTGAGAGATGCGATAGTGCTTCATAGGGGCTTTTGTCTAGAGAAGACAAGCAGCAGAATAACATCATATGCTAGAGTACAAAACCAAAAAATCATGTGAATTTGGAGCTGTCTATACTGATGCTATATTTCACAATGGTTTCACCAGCTAACTCCACTGTGAATTGTGGATTCTGAACCACATTGTCACAAAAGTGAGTCTATTGGGAAGGACACATACCACTGAGAAGAAATTCCTGAGTATTAGTTCTGTAGCATACATATTTCCTTCACCTTTTGTATCACACTTTGTCCTATTCACTTGTATCATACTCAGTCCACCTCTAAAGAGCTTTACCTCTAAAGTTTTTGATCCTTTGAAAATGCATTTGCTGGGTTTAGGTTAGGCCTCTGTCCTTCCTCTAAACACCTGATATAGCAGCTCCCTCCTGGAGCAGTCTATATGCTTTCCTAAAAGTTCATTTGTTGGTTCTCCAACATTTTGATGGCATATCTTTACTCCTTCATTTTTTTTTTTTCAATTATAGACTGTTAGTTTTAGGCTCAGCAAAGGAAGAAATGCAAAGAGATCTTGCAAACATTATCAGGTAGAGGAGACGAAGGGGGAAATAATTTTGTAAGTGCCCTTTAATTTCTTTAATTCCTTTAAATTAATGAGCAACCTTATTTAAAAAAAAAATCATTACTTATTTCAAATTTTATCTTAAAGAAAAAAGATCTTGAATTTTTCTTTTGATATGAAGTAAAAGACAGAATGACTTCTGTCTCCTATTTTCCCCTGAAAAATAAAATAGTCAAACAAACAGAACATCTGTTAAAATACAAAGGGTAGAAGGTACTACTCACAGTGGACTGAGATATCAGGATGTGACAGAAATTTTTCAGAATGTCAGTCAATGCAAGGACTCATTTTTCTCCTACTTTGCTATTGGACAAACGCTTTCATGAAGGTCCCTCTTTTGAGCCCATGTGACTTGGTGCTCTAAGAATCATAGAATGGTTTGGGTTGGAAGAGACCTTCAAAGATTATCTAGACTAACCCCCTTCTCATAAACAGGGACGTCTTTCACTTAGACCAGGTTGCTCAAAGCCCCATACAAGGTGGCCTTGAAAACTTCCACTGATGTCGTCAACAACTTCTCTGGGCAGCCCATTCCAGTGTGTCCCACTACCTTTTTAACAAAAAATTTCTTCCTAAGAACCAATCTAAATCTACCCTCTTTTGATTTATAACATTGTTCCTTATCCTGTCAGTACATGTCCTGTTGTAAAGTCTTTTCTTTCTTATGAACACCCTCCATATATAGAAACACTGCAATAAGGTCTCACTGCACCCTTTTCTTCTCCAGGCTGAAAACTCCCAATTTTCTCAGCTTTTCTTCATGGGAGAGGTGCTACAGCCCTTTCATCATTTTTCTGGCCCTCCTCTGGACCTTCTCCAACAGGTTCATATCTTTCTTGTACCAGGAATCCCAGAGCTCGATGCAGGTGGGGTCTCATGAGAGCAGAGTAGGAGAGAGTCACCTCCCTTGACCTGCTGGCTAAGCTTCTTTTGATGCAGCCCAAGACAGGATTTGCTTTTTTTTGGGCTGTGAGCACACATTGGCTTATGTCCAATTTTTCATCCACCAGTATCCTCAGATCTTTCTCTGAAGAGCTGCTCTCAACCAGTTCATCCTCCATTATCTCCTGATATTGGGGATGGCACTGACCAAGGTGAAGGACTTTACATTTGGCCTTGTTGAACTTTATGAGGTTCATTTGGGCACACTCCACAAGCTTGTCAAGGTCCTTCTGGCTGGTATCCCTTCCCTCTGTCAAATCAGACATACCACTCAGCTTGGTGTCATCCATAGACTTGCTATGAATACACTCAATCCCACTATCTATGTCATTGATGAAGGTATTAAATAGTATTGGTCCCTGCACAGACCCATAGGGGACACCACTCATTATCCATTTCCCTTTGGACATTGAGCAATTGTCTATAACTCTTCGGATGTAACTGTCCTGCCAGTTCCTTATACAACAGTCCAGCCATCAAATCCATACCTCTCATTTCTCACCTCCCTGCCTTCCGTATGTTTTGGCATAGCTTCCAGGAGGATCATACCAAGCACTGAGGTGAGACTGACTGGTCAGTAGTTCCCAATGTCCTCCTTTTTACCTTTTTTTTTAATTATAAAGCAGTATCATACGATTTTTAAAAATTGGTGTCATATTCCCTTTTGTCTAGTCACTAGAGATTTCATCTGGCTACCATGACTTTAAATATTATGGAGAGTGGCTTTGCAACTATGGCAGTTCCCTCAAGACCCTGGGATGAACCTCATCACACCCCATGGACTGGAGTATGTTCAGGTTCCTCAGATGGTCTTGAACTTGACCTTTCCTATGATAGGAGGAACTTTGCTCTCTCAGTCCCTGCCTTGAGTTTTAGGGGCTTGAGAGCTGTGGGAAAAAGAAATTACCAGTGAAAACTGAGGCAGAAAAAA